GAGGGGCATGGCTGAGAGGTTCCCCTGTTGCTGGGAGCACAGCCTTGGTAGCTATACTGACCTGTGGTTCAGTTAGGAGTCTCTTCTGGGGACCCTGCTTTTGACTCCAGCAGGGTGCCCAGGTGAGAATTTTTTCCCTCTGAAGCTAGTTTTAGAGACTCAGGCCTTTTTCCTGTATAAGCAGTTAATCTCCTGGGTTATGATCCTGTGTTAGTTGAGACCAAGGTGAAGGGTAATACAGAGTATTAGTAGCCTGATAAGTCAGCAGAAGACTTCAGTGACCACTATCAATAAAGACGGTTTGCGGGGGAATATTTTTATGTGGATTTTGGCCATGAGAACAAGGGTCTGTCCGAATCCTTTTCACACCATGGCTTCATGGTGTGGGGGGAGGTATCTGGTTGCCCTACAGGAAAATGAAAAGTCAGGTTTATGCACTGATACACTGTTGGGATATTATAAAAGGGAGAAACGTCATGATCTCACAAGATTTTACAGAACTGACAGTGACTTATCCAAAGGACAGATGCCCCCACAGCTCTGCAGAATGGGCTCTCCAGATGGAGTGCATGTGTACACTGACCGTGATCGTCCGATGATCTGTCAGCTGTACATTTGCTGTATAATACTTGTGGGCTCACCACAAGACCAATAACAGTTTGTACACAAACCTCCTTAAATGAAAACAAACATTTATAACCAATATTTTGGGAGGGTGGGCATAGTTTTCCAGACTTCTTGTTGATTGAGGGCACTGGTAATGGTGACTCTGAGAAAATGAGGATGATTTTCGGTCCTGACTGGGGTGTTGTGTGAGGATGGAGCATCTCAGCAGCCTTGAAGCTGTTCTGGATGCTGGATCATCTGGGCCGTTTTTATTGCTGTCTGGTCCACTTGTTCTAAAAATACATAAACTTTTAAAGATGACATGCATGTCTGTATTAATGTACGTATAGACTGTGTATTGTACACAAATGAGCCATAGATGCTTTTTTGGTTATATGTTGAGCAGGTAAAATACACATCATGTGTCTTGTAGTTGCTCTCGGTTTATTTTCCAAGTCTGTAGTCAGGATTTCAGGGGATCTTTCTCAATCAAACTTAATTTTTCTTTTTTTTTTTTCAAATTTGATTTTTCTTAACCTAGAGTGACTTCATAGCTTCTCATTTCCTGTGGAAACAAAAGCATAACCTCTCCCCCAAAGTAACACATCTTTTGACTTAAATTTTGAACTCAAAATAATTTAAAAATATATAGGGATGGGTTAATATAGCAATTTTCATAATCCAAGGTCTCTTAGCAGCCAATTTTTTTTTTTTTTTTTTTTTGGTTTTTCGAGACAGGGTTTCTCTGTGGCTTTGGAGCCTGTCCTAGAACTAGCTCTTGTAGACCAGGCTGGTCTCGAACTCACAGAGATCCGCCTGCCTCTGCCTCCCGAGTGCTGGGATTAAAGGCGTGCGCCACCACCGCCCAGTCAGCCAAAATTTTTTTAAGATTTTTTTTTATTATTTATTTAACTTTATTTTATGTGCATTGGCGTGAAGGTGTCAGATCCCCTGAAACTTTTTTTTACAGATAGTTGTGAGCTGCCATATGGGTGCTGGGACTTGAACCTGGATCCTCTGGAGGAGCAGTCAGTGCTCTTAACCACCAAGCCATCTCTCCATCTCTCCAGCCCCTTTACTTCTTTTTTTTTTTTTATTTTTTATTTTCAAGACAGGGTTTCTCCGTAGCTTTTGGTTCCTGTCCTGGAACTAGCTCTTCTAGATCAGGCTGGCCTCGAACTCACAGAGATCCGCCTGCCTCTGCCTCCCGAGTGCTGGGATTACAGGCGTGCGCCACCACCGCCTGGCCCATTACTTCATTTTTAATTTTTTTTATATTTATTTATTTATTATGTATACAATATTCTGTCTGTGTGTATGCTTGCAGGCCAGAAGAGGGCACCAGACCTCCTTACAGATGGTTGTGAGCCACCATGTGGTTGCTGGGAATTGAACTCAGGACCTTTGGAAGAGCAGGCAATGCTCTTAACCTCTGAGCCATCTCTCCAGCCCTACTTCATTTTTTAAAGGACCTTCTCTACCCTTTTTCTTTTCTCTCCCAAGCCTACATATATTTTTAAATGCACTATAACTCCTTTAGAGGTTCTTTCTGCCTGAATCTGTCCTTACTGTGTATCTGTAATATTTTATGTCTATGAGGACAAAACCTCAAATCCATCATGCAGCGAGCTGGCACTCACAGCCCAGGTCTGAAGACAGCAGCCAAGAGACACCTTTCTCTGCTGCGGCCTGTGAGAGATTACGACATCTACTATGCCACTTTGCTCATGGAGGTTGGTGGCCAGCTCCATCTCGAGGGCAGTTGTCTGGAGATGTGTCTCTGTAATGTGGCCAGCATGAGAGACTAGGAAGCCCAGTGTGGCTGTGTTTTTATTTAGATACTTTTTAAAACTTTCTCAGGTCTTATGTAGATCCCCACCCCACATTGGGCGCCATATGTAAACAGTTTTCTCCGTCCTGATTGCCCAGTTCCAAATAACCGACTCAGAGGCTGAATATATGAATATAAATGCTCGGCCCATAGCTTAAGCTCTTACTAACTAGCTCTTACATTTAAGGTAACCCGTTTCTGTTGATCTGTGTATGCCATGTGGCTAGTGACAGCTGGCACTCTCTGACTCCTCTCTTCTTTCCCCTAGCATTTTCAGTGTGACTGTTCTGCCTAGCCTTATTCTGCCTTGCTATAGGCCAATCAGCTTGCTTTATTAACCAATGAGAGTAATACATATTCACATCATACAGAAGGATTACCACATTGTACCATATGGATGCTAGGAATTGAACCTGGGTCCTCTGCAAAGGTAATCCATGCTCTTAATCACCGGACAATCTCTTCAACTTCTATTTCATTACTTTTAAATTTAGCTTTGGGTAAAATCTGGCAAAAGGCAGCCAGGTTATTTGCCAAAATATTACCAGAATGCCCTCTAGCCCAGTTGCTAATATTGTTTCCCTTTGAAACCTCTTGAGCTAGGCCTGCACAGACAGCCTTGCTCCTAGCACTACCATCTTCCGGGCTCCTACTGTCATGGCCCTGTAAGCTCTGCTTATAGCATTCACACACTTTCTGAGTCCAAAATTCCCTGATCTTCTCATTCTTCAAAACCAGCAGGTCAGATTCTTTACAGCAACACCCTTCTGTCTGGTGCCAACTTCTCTATTAGTCTTTTCTGTTGCTGTGATAGAGTACCATGACCAAAAAACTTATGGTTCCAGAGGGTTAGAGTCCAGAATGGTGGCAGGAGCAAGAAGCCAAAAGCTTACATCTTGAACTGCAAGCGTGAAGTAGGGCACATGAGTTGGAAGTGAGAGACTGTAAGCACTCAGAGCCTGCCCCTCGGAATGTACTTTCTCCAACAAGGCCTCACCTCCTAAACCTCTCCAGATAGCATTACTGGGATCAGGTATTCAAGTGCCCTAGACGGTGAGGGACACTTATCATTAAAATAGTTAAAGCCTGTGTATTCACATCCTGTCCTCAACCCACTGAAGGGCCTTTGACTGAGGTGATCTAAGCCCTTGATAGTATCCTAGAGGAGAGGCCTATGCTGTATAATCTCTTTTGTATAATGCTAGTAGGTCTTCCTCAGTGCATGGTGGGAGTCTTGGCAGAGAAGTCTGCCTTCTACCACTTTTTTGTCTTTATTTTTACTTTATGAGATAATCATTCAAATGAGCTGCCTGCTTCAGCCTCCCAAGCAGCTAGGACTACAGGGCTGAGCCAATGTATCCCATTCCCCATTATTTTTTTTTAAATATTTATTTATTTATTTATTATGTATACAATATTCTGTCTGTCTGTATACCTGCAGGCCAGAAGAGGGCACCAGACCTCATTACAGATGGTTGTGAGCCACCATGTGGTTGCTGGGAATTGAACTCAGGACCTTTGAAAGAGTAGGCAATGCTCTTAACCTCTGAGCCATCTCTTCAGCCCCCTCCCCATCATTTTTTTTTAATATTTATTTATTTATTATGTATACAATATTCTGTCTGTGTATATGCCTGCAGGCCAGAAGAGGGCACAAGACCCCACTACAGATGGTTGTGAGCCACCATGTGGTTGCTGGGAATTGAACTCAGGACCTTTGGAAGAGCAGGCAATGCTCTTAACCTCTGAGCCATCTCTCCAGCCCCCTCCCCATCATTTTTTAAGTGAGTCCTGTTAGTCAGGTTAGATTAACACAGGAAATACCGTGCATTTGGCCATTTGGCCTGTCTGTGGTGACCAGGCACTTAAAGGTTAATGAAGGGGCTGCTACAGTCAGGATGTGGCCAGAGTCAGACTCAGGCAACGATTCTTAGAGTTCCTGGAGCTGAGCAACTTGGAAGCCTAGGCAATGGTACATAGTCACTGACTGTTGAGTCCCAGATGGAGAAAGATTGATTTCTGCCCTGGGAACATGGGAGATATTAGAGGATGCATAGGCAATGGTACATAGTCACTGACTGTCTTGAGTCCCACATGGAGGAAAATTGATTTCTGCCCTGGGAACATGGGAGACATTAGAGGATGCATAGGCAATCATTTCTAGAGTTCATGGGAAGCTTTGCTCACTGCCGCAGTCATTTCTAGAAACTGGGTTTTTTGCATTCTATACTCTCCGAATGATAATGCACATGAAAACGTACAGAGGAACAAAAATGACACCTTTGTTCCTATAGACGTCAATAAGGGTGAGTCAGCCTCAGTCTCGGTGAAATTTCCGTTTCTGATGAGGAATAAACAACTTGGAGCGTGCAGGGAAGGCGGCTTGGGCAGTGTCCGGGGGTCCTGTTTGTCTCCTCCCAAGGGCCAGACTCTTCTGGGTGGTGGGCTAGCACCCTTAGTCTTGAGCCCAGAAGATGATGGCCGTTTTAAATTCAAGTAAAACCTTGTGGGTGCTTGCGTTAGTGTCCAGCATGCCTAATAGTCACTAATCTGCCTCTCACAGCACAGGAAGTCCTTGAGAACCTCAAAGGTCGCTGGTACCAGGCAGACAATCCGCCTGCAGACCTGCTGCTGACTGAGGATGAGTTCCTTTCATTCCTTCACCCTGAGCATAGCCGGGGCATGCTCAAGTTCATGGTGAAGGAGATTGTTCGGGACTTGGGTAAGGCCTGTCACCGACTGTGACACTGTTCTGGACCTGAGGGTGACCAGTGGGCTGGGAGCACTGCACTGCTGAAAGGGACACCACGCCTCAGGGTAGGGGGCTTATCCTGTTTTGGTTTCTGAGGAGGTGTTTTTGGTAAAGCCCAAGCTGAACACCTCCTCTCCCCACCCTTATCTACAGACCAGGATGGCGATAAGCAGCTGTCTCTGCCTGAATTCATCTCGTTGCCCGTGGGCACTGTTGAGAACCAGCAAGGCCAAGACATTGATGACAATTGGGTGAAAGACAGGAAGAAAGAGTTTGAGGAACTGATTGATTCCAACCATGATGGGATTGTGACCATGGAGGAGCTGGAGGTGAGCAAGGGTGTGGGTTTGGGGGTTGTGGGTTCATCCTATAGTGAGGTCCCAGAGAAAAGGGGGCTTGCCGACATGATGATGAGAACGGGGGGGGGGGCATCAGCATTAGTACTCGCATTCAAGAGATAGGAAAGTCTTATGAAACCTGTAGCCTCTAGAAAGCAACTCCCTAGTCTGTGGAAGGCATCTGGAAATTCGTTTTGGTGCTCAGGATGAATTCCATGCTAAATAATTGTTCCATCTCAGAGCTACATCTTCCACTCTGTGTTAGGGACTCCTAAGGCCCCTTTTGCATGGAACCAGAATAGGAAGCACATACTAGCCCCACTTCTGAAGTGACCTCTGGGCTAGCACAGGGCCTCCCTGTTGATAGGGTGCCAGGTATAGGCCGCTGACTTATATCTGGATCTCACAGAACTACATGGACCCCATGAACGAATACAATGCCCTCAATGAAGCCAAGCAGATGATCGCCATTGCTGATGAGAACCAGAACCACCACCTGGAACCTGAGGAGATCCTCAAGTATAGCGAGTTCTTCACTGGCAGCAAGCTGATGGACTATGCCCGCAACGTGCATGAGGAGTTCTGAGCATGCCCCTCAGCCGGAGCCAGGCTGCCAGTCTCCTGTCTGACCCTTCCTACACCTCAAGGGGCCTGTGGTCTAGTGAGACCTGTGGTTGACTGGGTCCCAGGGTGGGTTTGAAATGCTACCTTCTCTGTGTCTGGGGGCTACCATGACCCCTAAAAGTGCTGTCCCAGAACCTCCTTTCTTCTGCTGTGTCCATATGCTCTGGTTCAGCTTCTGCCACAGCATGGCCCAGACGTATTAAAGATGTGCTTACTAGGCTATGTGTCCTCTCCAGCATGTGTCTGAGGCAGCAACCCTTCTGTACCAGTCATGGGCTGAGCTGCGTTGGCTTGCTAAATCTCTCTCAATTGCTACATTCTACTTCTGAGAATTGCTTGGAGTGGTTGGTTCAGTTGAGGGTGCTTTACACGTCAGGTCCAGGAGCTCTGGGCTGGGCCCCTCCGTAGGCTTACCACACTGTGGGGAATAAATGCAACTCTTGCAATTTCCTTGAAAACTGAAAGATTAACATAAAGTAGATCACATTTCTCTGGAATTAATCAGCCGTACAGTTCTGCAGGTGCTACCTCCTTGGTAAGGTCTGGTAGGTCATTGGGGCGGGATCTTTCTCAAACTCTTGAGAACCTTGCAGGATCCTATCCACCACCGCCCCATGAGAAAGTGCAGATATTTGTCATCACAAGAATCATTCCTTAAAAATAGAATTACCTTCTTCTCACCTCTTCTTTTTGTTTTCTTGCTTTCTTGTTTATTTTTCGAGACAGGGTTTCTTTATGTAGCCCTGGCTTTTCTGGAATCCAGAGATCTACCTGCCTCAACTTCCCAAATGCTGAAATTAAAGGCATGTACCACCAATGCCCAGCAACACATTGTCATTCTTTAGATGAAAAAAGAAAACGTTGTGGCTAGGTAGTTTACACTAGACACCTTTGAGGTGGACACTGGTTAAATGGGTGTCTAGCTTTCAGTAGGCATGGATTCTCCTCATGGTAGAAGTGAAAACAGGACCTGAAAGCAAGACATGAAAGAGTAATGGAGTTTCATGCATGAGAAAGACTGTGTGGGATCAAGTTGGGCCTTGCGGTTGGGATCAGCAACGGAGTCTGAGCTGGTCAAAGTTCCGGGCCAGTGTTTTTGAAGATCTGTTTTGGTGCTCAGGGCCATTGTCTTGGTATTAAACGGTCAGAGCAGGCTTGTCAGGACAGCTGATAGCTCGTCACAATCCTAGGCCTGCTCTAGATGACCCTGATGACACAGGAACCTACTTCTGTGTGGTGTGTAAACAAAGACTGCTTGTTATCACAGAAACTTTATTGATTACAACACTGTTTGACCTATTAGCTCAGGCTTCTTATTAACTAGCTCTTACATCTTAAATTAACCCATTTCTATTAATCTGTGTATCGCCACGAGGCTGTGGCTTACCAGAAAGTTTCTGGCAGCTGCATCTTCGTGGCGTCTCCTTGACTCCCCACCTACTCTCTCCCTGTATCTTTGTTTGGTTCTCCTGCCTGGTTCTATTCTGTCCTGCCCTAGGTGGAAGCAGCCTTTCCATTAACCAATGGTAGTAAAACATTTACAGCATACAGAGGGGAATCCCACATCAGTGGTGTATCAGGGGTAGCGGGGGGTGGTGGTGGTGGAGGTGGTGGACCATGGCTCCTCATAGTCATTGGAGTATGGTTGTACCTGAGCTTGTTTCTAGGCAAAGACGAGACTTCAGTACTTAGAATGATCATGTGCATAAGCAGATCCCAGCCTCTGAGTATCCCAAAGAGTAGGACACACTGCTTTGGATAGGGACTTCTCGGCAGACTATCAGACTTCATCACCCTCCTGCTCCTGCTCACGGCCTTGGCCTGGAGTGTCACAGCTGAGATGAAGGTGTAGTGCTGCCCTGGCAAGCACCGGGTCTTTTAGAGAGTCTGATGGTTTCCAGTCTGGTTCTCAAGGGGCAGCAGCCTGTTGGGAGTTGCTTTAGGTCCCTTGTTGCCCTGAGGGGGCGAGTAGGGCCCCACTGTAGCCCCTAGTGCCTTATCCCAGAGCTGTTTCCCTTGTAGTGATTAGGAGACACAGTGAGACCAGCCACTGCCAGTGATCTCAGTTACATGGAAGCTACTCAGTTTCAGTGTGGTCCAAGCAGAAGGGGCCTGCTGTCCTGTCCAGATCCTCTGTAGGGAGTCCCTAGGAATACAGGGCACATCTAGTGTTCTCTGCACCTCTGGTTACCTGTGTGCGATGCTAAGCCCCTTGTCCAGGTCTGACAGCCAAGGACAGCAGAGTTCTGAGGGGAGGAAGGACACCTTAGTGTTACCTGACCTCAGGAGAGACAGTGTGTCAAATGTGAGATTTACCTTCCTTTCTCCTTAGGAAAGGACTGGGAGTGCTGCCCAGGATGCCCTGAGGATTCCTCTCCAGGACCTTCACTGTCCTTCAGAAGCAAGGGGAGGGCAGTCTCTGGCCTACTCTGGCTTCTTCCACCTGTTTGCTAGCCCAGCCCGACCTTCCACATTATAAGTTTCCATAAGAGAGCTGGGGACTTTTGCTTTCACATATGATCTTGGGTGGGGGATTTCCAGCCCCAGGCTGGTGTCTCGTTCTGCAGCAGGACTATCCCTGCACCTTTCTTTTTTTAAACCTAAAAACAAAACAGAGTTCATCTATAATCCAGACTGGCCTGGAATTTGCAGTCATCATGCCTTTCCTGAAGACTGGGATTACAGGTGTGCACCACATGCATAGCTAGCATGAAACTTTCCACTTAATTTGAGAATTATGCCACGTCACAGTTTGTGTATGATAAGAACAGTGCCTCCCAGTTAACCCATTTCCTCCTTCAGTGCAGTAGTTTTTATGTAAGAAAAGAAAGCCTGTTGAGCCTGTGACACACCTGTAATCCCAGCATTTGGAAGATGGGAATGAGGGATGAGAAGTTCAAGGCCAGAACCCAAATTTGGTTCCTGATATCCACATCAGGAAGCTCACAACTGCCTATAACTCCAGCTCCAGGGGATCAGACACCTGACCTCTTTGGGTGCCAGTACCACATGCATACATTTCCTACATACACACTTATACACAATTAAAAATAAACTAAATCCTTTTGGCAGGGCGGTGGTGGTGCACGCCTTTAATCCAAACACTCGGGAGGCAGAGGCAGGCAGATCTCTGTGAGTTTGAGGCCAGCCTGGTCTACAAGAGCACCAAAGCTACAGAGAAGCCCTGTCTCGAACTAAATCTTTTTCTTTTTTGTTTTGGTTTGGTTTTTTCAAGACAGGGTTTCTCTATAGCGCTGGTTGTCCTGGAACTTGTTCTGTAGACCAGGCTGGCCTTGAACTCACAAAGATCCACCTGCTTCTGCCTCCTGAGTGCTGGCTGGGATTAAAGAAGTGCGTCACCACTGCCTGGCGCTAAATCTTGAAATTAAGAAAGAGAGGGCAGGGAAGAGGGAAAGAAAAGATTGAAACATGGGCTACAGAATAAATTCAAATGTCAGCCTGGACAACCTAGTAAAACTGTTCAAAATAAAACATGAAAAAGGCTATGGATATAGAAGTAGAACACTTGCCTAGCAAGTAAGAGAATTTAGGTTCCTAGTACTACAAAAAAGGGGGAAAGGGGAGAAAGAAAAATAAAGTCTGTTCACACTGGAGAGATGACTTAATAGTTAAGCTTGTACTACTCTTTTTGGTTGCTTTTGTTTTTGAGACAAGGTCTCTTTTATGTAGTACTGTCTGTCCTGGAAATTTATTTACTGTGTGAACGAGGCGGAGCTGGGATTAAAGGAATGAAGTACCAAGCGCAGTGGTAAAAGCAAGTGTTCCTGCAGAGGACCCAAGTTCAGTTCCTAGTTTTCACGCTGGTGGCTCACAACTTCCTATAACTCTAGCTCTTCTGACCTCCTTGGGTTTTATACTTACCATATACATATGCCCCCCCCCCAAAAAAAAGAAAAAAACACATAATTAAAAATAAAATCCTTTTTTAAAATGCCTGTGTGCATGCGTTTCTCTGTGTGCCTCCATATGTGTATGTTGGGTATCTGCACATCCCTTCACCCCAGTGGCCCCAAACACTAGCTCGTTACGGGACTCTACACCTGTGCCATACACACTGGAACACATGCTCACTTATCTTCCCGCCTCTCCGCCTACTCCTCTCGCCCCTCCCCCATAGCCCTTATAGCCACATCCTGCAAGGAAAAACCCCAGACTCCTGTGAAGGCAGAGCCCAGACAAGGATGTATGTGTGGGTCCAGCAGCCCACAGCACTTCTGCTCCTGGGACTCACACTTGGGGTTTCATTCAGGCTCAACTGTGTTGAAGATACGTACCCCAGTGGTCACAGGTGCTGTCATGAGTGCCAGCCAGGTGAGCAGCCCTGCTTTGGGATGTAGTGGCGGAGTGGGGGAGTGATGATTGTTGGGGGACAATGATGGAGACACAGGTAGAGATATTCTAGGGGGCGGGACGGGTAAGTGAATTCAGGTGATATCAGATGATGCTCCCAGGTCTGAGACAGCCAACCAAAAGGCTGGTTCTGTAGGAGTCAGGGTGCTGTGTCTCCACCGTCCTGGGCCTTAGCTGACCTGTTTAACTTTCTGGGCTCCACTCCAGGCAACGGTATGGTGAGCCGCTGTGATGCCAACAGGGACACCGTATGCCACCCGTGTGAACCTGGCTTCTACAACGAGGCAGTCAATTATGAAAGCTGCAAGCAGTGTACACAGTGCAACCAACGTGAGCTCCTCCTACCCTGACTCACTGTCCAGCCCAGCAAGGAAGCAGCTGCACCAATGGGTGCCCATATTTCCCATATGATTTCAGAACTAACTCCAAGCCATGATGAATTCTGTTCACTAAGGGTTCCTTAGTAGCCAGGGAATTTCTCAGGGGACACTTCTGTCCTCTGCGGTGAAGGCTCAGCCAGGGCCTCTTGGAACTGGGCCTTGCCCAAGCTGTCCTAGTGGGTAAGGTCCGATGTGGATGTTGAGAGTACCTTTCTGATTCAGATGCTCTAGGCTGGAGACAGGTTGGGGAAGGGTAGAAAAGGGAGGCCACAGCTGCCCAGTGCTAGCTCAGTAGCTTTCTACAGGGCTTTATGACCAGGAAGAACAGAGTAGCCAGAGAGAGGGTCTTAGGAGAGAAGAAGCCTGAAGTCAGGCTGCAGAGTTCCCTCAGCTTCAACTTTGTTCCTGCGCCACTGGAGATGGCAAGTCCATTTTACCCTGCCTTGTGCGTTGGTCAGGGCTAGTTAAGCCACATTCACAGTCTCTATTTCATCTTCTCTAGGAAGTGGGAGTGAACTCAAGCAGAATTGCACACCGACTCAGGATACTGTCTGCCAGTGCAAGCCAGGCACCCAGCCCCGGCAAGACAGCAGCCACAAACTTGGAGTTGGTGAGCCTCAGGGTGGCCTCCTACACCAGGCAGGTTCATGTCTGTCCATGGCCGGTGTGTGCGAGGTGGTCAGGATCCATGTGTGTTGATGCCCTTCATGATAATGGTATAAAAACAAGCCGTGTTCCCACTTGGTACATTGTTACTTCCCCCAGCATCTATCTAGTCTTGGCCAAAAGCCCCTCTCCCACTGGGTCATGTCAAGACTTGGGTCAGTGCCAGTGGGAGGCACATGGGAAGGAAGGAGCTTGCAGAGACCAAGATTCCCATGCACTGGCACTGGAGAGTGAGCCTTAACACTGTCCCCTACTTCAGGCCCCGCCTCCAGCAGCCTCATCATCTAGGGCCCACCTAGTAGCATCAGAGAGTTGACTTATGTCTTTGCTGCAGACTGTGTCCCCTGTCCTCCTGGCCACTTTTCTCCAGGCAACAACCAGGCCTGCAAGCCCTGGACTAAGTGAGTATTGTGGCTGGCTGGAACACTGAGGACTGTGGGTGTGGAAGGAATGGAATCAGAAAGGTTTGGGCATTTAAGAGCTGGTGCCTAGATGACTATGTGACGAACCAGTTCAAAGAACAGAAATCCACGGACCAGGGGATCTTCTGACATCTTCCCTTCAACACAGCCCCTGTGGGGAGCCCTGGAAGTGGAGTGGGGACATGTGAGATTCTAGTCCAGGCTGTAGAAACATGTTTGCTCTCAAGTTGTGGTTCTTCGGAGGGCTGGAGAAGTACCGGGCGGGTTTTGAGAGCGCAGAACCTCATGTAGAAGCAGGACAGGGATGGACAGAAACAGACACAGATGTATCGCTTGGGGTGGAGGACTTGGCAGAGTTGAGGATGACCCAGTGCAACTTCCACCGTTGTCTCTAACTAATGGACACCCTCACCCCACAGCTGCACCCTATCTGGGAAGCAGACCCGGCACCCAGCCAGTCCCAGCTTGGACGCAGTCTGTGAGGACAGAAGCCTCCCAGCCACAGTGCTCTGGGAGACCCAGGGCTCTACAGTCACACCAACCACTGTCCAGTCCACCACAGTCTGGCCCAGGACTTCTCAGTTGTTCTCTACATCCACCCAGGTGGCTCCTAGGGGTAAGGGACACTGGCCCAGTGAAGGGAGGGGAGAGGAGGTGAGGGAGAGTGAGTTCACTCAGTTAGACTCTCTTCATAGGCCCAGTATTTACTGGTTTCCTAGGCCTAGGCCTGGGCCTGCTGGCTCCCTTGACTGTTCTGCTGGCCTTGTATCTTCTCCGAAGGGCTTGGAGGTTGCCTGATGCTCCCAAACCCTACTGTGAGTACCCGCTGTGGACTTAATAAAGCTTGCTTCCTAGAGGGATGAGATATATCTCCTCACTGCTTCTTCCTTCTTTGCTTCTCCTAGGGGGAAACAGCTTCAGGATCCCCATCCAGGAGGAACAAGCTGACACACACTTTACTCTGGCCAAGATCTGAACAGCACCTCAGGAATGGGTTTGATGGAGCATGGACAGCCTATATCCTGGTGCCTGCCAGTACCCTCCACACCGTTCTAGGTGCCGGGCTGGCTTTGGGCTCTCCTATGTATGCTATGCATACTGCCTGCCTGGTGGTACCACCAATAAACGTGCTAGCAACTGTGAGTCTGTGACTGGCACTAGGGGGCTGAGGTTGCATCCTCTTCTGGTGGGGGAAGAGTCTTAGGCCAAGGTGAAGGTCTGCTCAGAGACTCACACTTAGTCATGTGTTCTCCAGTGTGAACAGGGGTATGAAGTACGGGAGGTCTAAAGTGCCAAGGGGATGGTACTCGGGGAGCCAACTGGCGGCTTGGTGAGCAGTCCAGAGTCTGTGCTTCAAGGCAGCGGCTTTTAACCTTCCTAACGCTTCAGCCCTCGTGTTGTAGTGACCCCCCCACCATAAAATTATTTTTGTTGCTACTTCATAACTGTAATTTTGTTACTGCTATGAATTGTAATGTAAATGTTTTTGGAGACAGAGTTTCACCAAAGGGGTCACAGCTCACAGGTTGAGAACCACCGCTCTAAGGGGACCTAAGGGTCTTAGCCAAAAGGAAAGCGCCCTGGCAAACAGCTTGAGTATCCTGATCACCAGAGGGGCTCATGAACCATTGTGCCCCTTTTGACCTCTGTGACTAAGGCAGATAACTCAGAGTTATCCTTTCTCTCCAGCCACATGGATGGTGAGAAGTGTTTGGTGGTCCTTGCGCACTATCTAGAGATTCTAAAATCTCTGGACATGGGTGGCTATGGCCCCATGTAGCAGCCAATCAGCCAGCTGTGTTGGAAACGTGGTCTGCTTCTTGAGCCAAGCCTCATCTGTCCTGAGATTATTCCTCTAGAAACAAATGTTCCCTGACAAGAATATGGACACTTCGAAGACCCAGGGTCTTATGCTGTGCTCTACTACAAGCAGTTCTGGGAGCGGCAACGGCTGTGTTGCTCAAAGAGCACAGGGACCCAAAAGCTCAATGAACTCCAGGCAGAAGGTGCCAAACTGCTCTTGGAGATAGTCAAGCGGTCATGCCTGATCATGCAAGTGAAACCAGAGAGCCCAAACTGGTGTCATGTGATAGATGTTAAAAGTCACTAGATGGCCAAGCTTGGTGGTGTATGCCTTTAATCCCAACATTGAGAAGGCAGAAGCAGGAGGATCTCTGTGAGTTCGAGGCCAGCCTAATCCACATAGCAAGTTCCAGGTTGACCAGAGCTACATAGTGAGACCCTGTCTCAAATAAATTAAAAAAAAAAAAGGAAGAAAAAGAAAAAAGAAAAGAAAAAATCCCAAAGAAGAAAGGAGTCACCAGACATCCTGGTGCAGGGGGTGGTGCCAGGCTGTGTCAGCTGCACTTTGAGGAGGCATAGGAACCATAACGAGCTATAAAGATAACTGTTTCCTTGTTTCCTGCCCCTTGCCACCATGAGGCCACCGGCCTGGCATTAAAGTAACACCTTGTTACCTCTCCCATCTTTTAGTTGATCTGCTTGTGGTCGGATATAGTATTTTTGTTTCTTTGTGTTTTGAGATAGGGTTTCTCTGTGTAGCCCCAGTTATTCTGGAACTCACTCTGTAGATCAGGCTGACCTTGAACTCAGAGATCTGCCTGCCTCTTCCTCCCAAGTCCTGGGATAAAAGGCATGCGCCACCACCTCCAGACCAGATATGATGATCTTCATCTGCATGGTGGGGCACCCTATTACTTATAGCCCAAGTCACTGAGACCCCCATGGGTTGGCTGGATAAAACTATCTCTGATCCTGGTTCCCTTCCCATCTCTCTCCATTCTCTGACAACATCCAGCTGCCCGCAGCCAAAGGAAACACCCACTGAACTACTAAATGCCCTTCACTGGGTGCTTGTACAACCAACCACACCTGAAGCCGGGGGATGGAACCATAGGCCAATTGGCAGCCCCCATCCCATAGAGAAGTCCATCCTAGAGAGGGGCGGGGGAGGAAGAATGCTATGGGGCTTGGGAGGTTAGAGCTGATAGGAAAGAGGTTTTATTCTCAGTCTAGGCAGGCCATATCTATGCCCCCTCCTTACTGGACACAGGTCTCCAGTTTTCATGTGGTCTCCTGCTCATTTGGGGGCTCCTTGGGTCCCTTCCTGAGTTACATACCCATGACCCCACCTGCACAGATACTGGGTTTATTTTCTCTTCATTCTGATGCTGTCCCAAAGTATATTCTCTATCCCCCCTCATCTCAAAAACTCCCCAACTACCTGTGCTGCTCTCCCCATCTCAGTCTGGGAGTTCCCCACAGGGTCAAACAGCCAGGACCCTCTGCTGCCTGGAACATCCTCACCGAGTCCTGTGAAACAAACCACATGGAAATACAAACACAAGGAGCTGCACATAAAATAAAGGGGATAGCAGCGAGCAGATAAAATCACCTCTGCCCACTGTCTGGTTATGGAAGCTGCTTGTTCTTGGCAGTTCCTTGCAGTGGGTACCTAGAAGTGGGTAGGACAGGAAGTCTGACATAGGTGCTGACATTTACTGATGTCATCTGCATGAAAACATCTCCCTAGGTATATGACCTGTGTCTTTTTATCTTTGTGATCTGTGTGTGGTTGTCTCCTGGAAAGAACCTCTATGAAGCTCATTAGCAGCTTGTAGCCTTGCAAGTCTCTGTCAAGCAGACCTTGCCCATGGCTGAGCTCGGATACAACACCAAGGCAAAAATTCCCAAGGGACACCTTCAAGGTACAATGCATGGCAGTGTTTTGGAGGTGAGTGCTTTGTTATCTCTCCCCCGTGGAAGAGACCATTGCCTAGAGAACAGGGATCCCCAGTGTGAGAATATCATGGCTGGCAGGGGATTCCATGTGTATACCGTGAACTCACCAGGCTTGGGGTAATACTATGAAGGCGTGGTCCCGGCTGACCTTCTAGATTTTTGTTTGTTTGAGATAGGGTCTCTCTCCATAACTCTGGCTGTCCTATTCACTATACAGTCCAGGCTGACCTCAAACTTAGAGAGCCACCTGCCTCTGCCTCCTGAGTGCTGTAATAAAGGTGTGTCCCACTATGTCCAGCCCCAAATATAGAATGATTCAGATTTTTCTGTCATCCTTACACAGGGGCTATGTTAATTTTTGTATTGTTCCAGTTTCTGTGTATGTGCTTCCAAAGTGAGCGCTCCCGTAATTTTTTTTAAATGGTTAGGGGCATAGGCAATACTGCCCTCAGTATCTTTATGTGGAGCCAAGGCACACGGTTTCCCTTCTGCCCTTGGACTCAGACCCACTTCCTTGGCCTGGAGCTGTTTCTCGAAGGAGAGGTTCTGCTAAGGCTGGCCCAGAGTGGACTACCCAGAGTCCCCTCCCCCACCCCTGCAGTGACCAGAGCTGCCTCTCAGGAGGCTTACAAACCTGAGGCCAGAGAACAGTAGGAGTTGCACAGCTGGTAACTTGAAACATTTCCTACTTCCTCAGCCTCCTCCAACAGCATCTTAAAAGGGTGTCAACAATTCTCCACACCTTCCATTTGTGGGTACCCACAAATTCAGAGATGCCCATATTCACCTCCAACACTCCCCAAAGTCCTCACCATGTTTCCCTGTACTTAGTTTCAGCTGGAAGATGTGGGAAGTGGGGCTGAACAATCCAGAAAGGCTTCCCTGTAGAGGCAGGGTTCCAGAACCTGCTGGCGACTGCATGAGGAAATGAGGCTCAGAAAGACAATACAGTCTCCCTATGAGGAAGAGGCCCAGAAGGCTCCATCAGGGAGTCCTTGTTATCTAGAGGTGAACAAAAGTGACAGAGACGGCCAAGAGATCCAAGCTGGAACTTCCAGGCTGGATCTGGGCAGGACATACTGTTCTTGGCTTCAGGCGCCTTCTAGGAATGCCCAGCTTATGGCGACTTTCTCTGAAAGGCATATAAGCTCTGGGCTCCCCTCACTGGCTCTCTGGGGTGGAAAGGAGGAGTTTTACACAATAAAGGGTACCCACAAGCAGCCTGTGTGAATGAGGATCCTTTTCCTCTGCAGCCTGTCCTGGGTGTGTCTGCTGGAGTTGGAAGAGGCTCGCTGGAGTTCAGGAGGTGTCAAGGAAGATGATATGACTTTGTTGCACACTTTACAGAGGCCTTTACAAACACCACATACCTGCCGGAAGATGGAGGTGGAGCTGGTCTGGAGCCCAATCTGAGGGGTGGGGACTGAGGCAGGGGCGGGACAAAGCATGCTGGAGCAGGTTGGGGACTACTAAAAATCAACCCACAGGAAGAAGACCCAGGAGAAACACTATGGGAGCATGGGCTATGGTGTGTGGAGTCTCACTGATTTGGGTGCTGGACCTAGGTCATCAGAGCCTGGTTGAGGAGCCTAGCTGTGGCCCTGGCAGCTTCCAGCGTGGGACTGGCAACAACACACGGTGTTGCAATCGGTGTGCTCCAGGTAAGACAAGGAGGGGAGCAGGAGCCAGGATGTGCACCAGTGCCCTGCCCAGCTCTCACACAGGGAGGGTGGGTAGGAAGACTTTCTGAGTCTGGAATCATGTGTCTGGAACTGAGAAGGAGGTAGAGGGTCCATATGAGTCACTTGCTCAAGACCAGAAGTGTGGGAGCAGGGGCTGGAAACTTCTTCTTCAAGAGGGATCTGGGGTCAAAGGTGAAAGAGGACCATCTCAGGGTCTGCTGGGTGGGTCAAACCTTAGCTCTGTCTGGGTTGGTGCCCCAACATTGTCCTCTGCCCTATCCAGTGTTTATGTTACCTAGAACGTGTAGAGCAGTCTGAAGACCCCTCAAAGAAAAATATCTTAGCACTTCACCCCCATCCCTCTGATACAGAAAGAGGCAGCTCTGAGGACCCATGTGTCTGTGAAAGCAATGTGGACAGCAGTGGCTGCAGCTGCTAAGGTGTTCCTAGTACCCTGATGCAGCATAGGCCCAGGGACCTTAGAAAGCCCCAGGTGACTCCCATATGAAATGGGACTTATGAAGCCATAACTTCAGAACAGTGGGCAGTATGTATATTAGTGGTCAGCCATCTGAGATGGAACACTGAGCTGGACAAAGCCTAGGATCTTGCACTGGGGTTGACTGAGGATGGAGGCCTAGCACCCTAAGAACTTGAAGGACCAGTAGGAGCTCTGAAGAGGGAAACTCTGCCTAGTTCCTGAGAGTCTTATTCTTGCCAAGACAAGGAGAACTGTCCTGAAGGAGATTGTATATGTGTCATGCCGGAGTACCACTGTGAAGACCCTCAGTGCAAGACCTGCAAGCACTACC